GGGGCCCCGGCCCGGCCCCTCCGCCCCCCGCTCTGCCCAGCTCAACTCTAAGCGTTACCTGATCCTGATCTACTCAGTTGAGTTTGACAGGTGGGGGCCCAGCCAGATTCCCCTCTCCAGCCCAGTTTCACGTGCCTGCGGTCCTGAGGGGATTCTAGAGCTGGGAAACTTGTGGCTCGAGGAAGCCTGTGGCTCTGAGGAACGTTTGTGTCTCTTTGCCTGGGGTTCTGTCGTGCTGGGCTCTTATAGATGGAATAGACAGGATGCTGGATTTGGACCTCAGCAAATCACTTGCCTTTTCTGTGCCTCAGTTTCCTCACTTGTAAAATGAGGACATTGCTCTTGGTGGCCTCCAGTCTCTTCCATCTTCAGATCTCTAACTCTATGGCCCTGTTTGAACCCCAGTTCCCTTGTTGGATGACAAATACTAGCACGTCCTACCTCAGAGGTAGGGTAAGATAATTTTTATGAAGCCCGTTGCAAACCTTAAAGTGCTGTAGGAATGTCAGCTCTTGTTCCTGGGGTTTCTTGGGACTGGGGTTCAGAGGCTGCCTGGGCCTGGAGGAGGTGGCGTCAAGAACCCCCTGAAAGTGAGATGGGCCTCTTTGTCATCCTTCAGGATCCACTACCCACTGCCCCTCCCGTACCAGGGCAAGCCCGACCCTGTGGTTCTTCAGGGCATCATTCGGTCCCTGAAGGAGGAGCTGGCGGCGCTTCGGTCCAGGGATGGGCGGGATGCTGAGATACGCCACCTTCGCGAGCAGTGAGTTTCTTTGTTCACTGGGATTGAGGCCCAGCTAGTGTCATCTCGAGGGCCCCTGGGGGGACTCTGGGTGCTGTGTGGGGGCGGGAAGCAATGAAGGCATGGGAGGTGAGATCACCTGCACGCCTGCCCATGCTAGTCTTTCAGGGCCCTGAGACTCAGCCTGGGCTGTGGGGTGAATACAGGGGTGGACCTCAGCCCAGCCTGGCCTTCTCCCCACAGGCTGAGCCGGGCAGTAAATGAGAAGAGGGAGCTGGAGGTGGCCCTGGGCCGGGCACGGGAAGAGGCGGGTGGCCGGGCCACGACTCACCAGGAGGTGGCTGTGCTCAAGGCCATGGTGGCCAGTCTGGAAGAAGAGCTAAGAAGGGAGCGGGGGCAGCACCATCGGACCGCTGGACGGCGAGGCCAGGAGTGCCGACGACTTACCCAGGAGGTGTGTGTGTGGGGGGGGGGAATGGAGGGGCTTGGTAGGGAGGGAGAGTGGGGGGGGAGGGAGAGGATGAAGGGGAAGGGAGAGAAGGGAGGGAGAGGATGGAGGAGGAAGAGGATGGACGGGGGAGGGGAGGGAGAGGATGGACAGGGGAGGGGGAGGGAGAGAAGGGAGGGAGAGGATGGAGTGAGGAGAAGGGGAGGAGGAGGGAGATGATGGAGGGGAGAGGATGGAGGGGGAGGGGGAGAGGGAGGGAGAGGATGGATGGGGGAGGGGGAGGGAGATGATGGAGGGGGGAGGAGGAAGGAGAGAAGGGAGGAAGAAGGATGGAGGGGGGAGGGGAAGGGAGAGGATGCAGGATGGAGGGGGAAGGAGAGAAGGGAGGGAGAGGGGGGAGGGGGAGGAAGAGGATGGAGGGGGCGGGGGAGGGAGCCGATGGCAGGGTCCAGCACTTGCCTGGTGGCTCAAGCTAAAGGAGGTCCAGGAAGGGGTCTGGGGGGAGATGTTGAAGTCTTTTGTTCTTCCTCTCCCTCGCCCCCATTTCCCCCCAAGCTGGAAGAGGTAAAGTCGTCAGAGCGGAGCCTTCGGGCCCGGCTGAAGTATCTGTCCAGCGAGCTGGCCCAGTACAAGCGGGGGTGAGCAGGCTCTCCTGGGGAGATTGGGGAAGGGCTCAGGGGAGGACAGGAGGACCGCAGGAGACAGGTGGCCAGACCTAGCGGGGTTGGGGCCTGTCTCCCCAGGAGGCAGACCTTGTCTTCAGTACAGTCACCCCAGCCCCGGAAGGACCAGCGGCGGACAGCGTCTCAGGAGCGGAACCCATCCTGGGGCCGAAGGCCTGCCAGATCGTCATCTCAGGACAGCAACCGAGGCAGGGCGCCGTCGCGGCCCTCCTCCTCCCCAGCAGGTGTGTGACCCACATTCTGCTGCCTCCGCCTGCCCTCCCCGCCCCTTGCCCCCCATCCTCCTCCCCACCAGGGGGTCACGGGCTCTGCTGCTCCCTTGGATGAGCTAGGAGGCCCTTCGCTACCTCTGTCCTTGGTCCCCAGGTGTCCGGGCACCCCGCTTCGACCCCACTGCCTTCGTCAAGGCCAAAGAGCGGAAGCAGAGAGAGCTCAAGATGAAGAAGTGAGTGATCCTGCTTCCCCAGATGGACCAGGCGGGGACCAAGGGGGCATCAGTGGGTTCTGGGGGCCCACTCAGCCTCCTTTGAGGTGGATTCCACTGGGTGGGCTAGGGCCCAGGGGCTTGGGTGGCGTCTGGTGTTTGCAGCTTTTATCCCACCCCCTTCTGGACCCTGCAGGCTTCCCCACCCCCAGGCCGGCAGGGCGCTGCTCATGGGCCTCCAGACTCCTCTGGCTCCCCAGGGCTTAGAGGGTAAAGGGCCAGCTCTTCTGCTAGGCATTGGGGGCATCTACGGCTCCAGGCTCTTTTCAGCCCGATGTCATAAGCAGCTTGGTGTGCAGTGGCCTCAGTGCTGGCCTCACAGTGACCCTGTCACTTTACCTGCCTGCCTCAGTTTCCTCATCTGTACAGTGGGGACCATCTGCCGAGGGCCACGTCCATGTTCCCCATCATCATTTCGGGCAGTGGGGTGGCATTTCCCCTGCCTGGCGTGGGATGTACGCTGCCCTCAGCCCCTCCTGGGGTGCTCAGACACTGCCTCCTCGGAAAGCCTTTCCCGTGGTTGTGTCCCCCAATATGATGGAGGCTCCTTCATTTTGCCTTGGGATCCCCAGTGCCTTGCATACAGTAGGCACTTAATTAATACTGGATTGGGTGAGAGTGAGCTTTCCCCCTCTTCCCTCAGCCAGCAAAGAAACCGGATAGGGAGTGGGGAAGGGTCGGGGAGCTGGGGTCGAAGTCGGGTCCATGGCTCATGCGCAGTCTCAAGAGAGGAAGGGGCCCCCAGAGGTCGGACGCGAAGCTCCTCCGGTAAGGGACATGACATGTGTCCCCAGGGAGAAGGGAAGGGGGTCGCGTCCAACTTCTTAGTCCTGGCACAGGAGCCCCTGAGGCCCAGTACTGGCTGCGAGGGGGAGGGAATCCTGGCTCCAGTGAAGGGGAGTGGAGGGTGGGATGAGGAGGCCAGGACCTCAGGGGCCTGGTGGGGACCTGGGGCTCAGGAGCAACACAGAATGTGGGAGGTTGGAGGTTGGGTCTCGGGAGAGGCCAGGCTCTCGTTCAGCCTTTAGTCGGCGGCCTGGCCTTTCCTTTTCTCCTTCCCTACCACAGTAGAGAGTTTTCGAAGCCGTCACTCCTCACTGAGCTCAGCCAGTGAGTTTGAGGATTTCACTAACCCAGCTTCCCGAGGGTAAGGTCGGGGGGTGGGAGGGAGATGGCGTGGGGGGTTTGCCCCAGGAGAAATTGGCTGGGAGCCTGGGAAACCACTGAGACCGAGGGCCCCCCCCTCCCAACTTGCCCCTCTGCTTGCTTTCCTCAGCCTTCGGAGGCAGCCCAGAGTTCGGAAGCCCCTGAGCCCCTCCTCCTGGAATGGCTCAGGAGAGGTGAGTATCAGGGGCCTTTGGAAGCTTGGGAGCCGCCCATGGCCCTGGTGCAGCTGGTCCGGGCAGGGTCTGGGCAGAATAGTGGAGTTGGGCAGGGGATCCTCAGGAGCGGCTCATCAGCACGTGCCCAGAGACCTCACTTGGGTGTCTGGTTTGTGGACGAGGGGACCAGGATTGGGGGCACCTTGGATGGTCTGAGGAGGGCAGAGGGAGCGATGGAGCTTTTGGGGGATTGTTGGCTTGGAGATCCCTCCTGACTGCCTGCCTGACCCCTTCAGATGCCTGTGCTGGACAGTGGCCGCAGAAGACGGCAGGCTAGTAGCACCCCTACCCTGAGGGGCCAGACCTTTGGCAAAGGTGAGCTTTCTTCCTGAGAGCCAGCCGTGCTTCCTCGGTGGGGTTGGGGGATTCATCCCTTGACGCCAAGAGCTCCTAAAACCCTTGGGTTCAGCCCAGGTCCTCCCACAAGCCCCTTCACGGAGGACGACTGCCCATCCCTAGGCTGGTTCCCAGAGGGAGCCACTTTCTTCTTCCTCCTTACAGAAAATACATTTGAGGAGCCGCCCACTGACCTGTCAGAGATTGATGCCCGCCTGCAGGCTCTGCAGGAGTACATGAATAGGCTGGACACAAGGACGTGATGCTGCCCCCCAGCACCACCCAGAGGGACCTGGGCCTGGCTTCTCTTCTTCCCCTTAGCCCCCCAGCGGGAGGCCAGAACTCCTGAGACTCAGCCCTGGCTGCCAAGGAACCCGAGGACTGAGGAGGCGTGTGTGTGTGAGTGTGTGTGTGTGTGTGTGTGTGTGTGTGTGTGTGTGTGTCTGGTGGAGGGGGGTGGGGAGGGGCAGAGGATGTAAATAAAGGGTTTGGGCAGTTTTCCCTCCCCCAGCCCACCCCTGCTCTGATCTTTACATTCTGACTTTCTGCATCTGGGCTTTGAGCAGGGGCAGCAGGGCCCAGGGAGGAAATCACACAGCCCCTCATCAGTGGCCTCTGTGACCACGGCTGGGTCCCCCCGAGTCAGTGAGCTCAGTTCCTCCCATGTAAAATGGGGTGGCTGATCCCTGGGGTCCCTCCCTCGTGCATTGACCAGCGGAGTGTAGGTGGCTCTTCCAACCAGACAGTGGCAGTTCCAGTCGTTTAGAGGGCTGGGAACTGAAGGAGCCTGAGACATGAGCCACTTGACCCCCACACTCGATGAGGGAGGGAACCAAGGCCCAGGGAGATGAGGAGTGGGCCTGTGAAGTAGGCCCCTCCAATGCCGGCTGGCATCAATGCGCGAGTCACAGAATCCCCACGTGGCCAGGGTCTCGGCAGCTTTATTCGGGGATACTGGGGAGGGGCGGCCTGCCGGCCGTGGACACTGGAGGCAAGGGTAGGTGGTTGGCTGCGATGGCCCGGGCTCCCACAGGCCTCTCGCCCTTAATAATGGGGCAGCTTCCGCAGTTCTCTGTAGAGCCTGTCTGCAGCCCTTTGCTGCTCGCCCTGCGGTGTCCGGATCATGTATTGAGATGAGAGCACACCGTGCTGTGTGCCACAGCGAAGGAGGCTCTGTATGGCCCGGATGGCTCGGGGAGCAGGGGCTCGATCTGGGGGAGGGAGACAGCCTGGTTTGCCAGCTTGCTGTCCTTAGCCTTTCTTCCCCCCCCCTCCGTAGCTACACCCCAGGGACCCAAGTGTCCCGGTTCTGGTCCTCAGCCTGATACAGGCCTGGGGACTTGGGCGTCCTAAGTCTTAGCCCCGCAGGACCTAAGTGTCCTTGCCTCTAGCTTTGCTCTACCCTCCTGGTGCTCTACTCTCCAGCCCCAGTCCCTTACCTTCCCAAGGACCCTCCCTCTCTCCTGTTGCCACTCACTCCTGAAGTTGCCGATGAAGCCGATCCCCAGGGAGATGGAATTCCAGGTGGCATCTGAGTGCTGTCCTGTGGTGGACCACCCTCGCCCCTCGTAGATGAGCCCATCTTCCCCAATCAAGAAGCTGGAGGCAGAGAGGGCGGATTAGCCTATTGAGGAAGGCTTCTTTGCCCTTCCTCCCCCAACCCCAGTGTTCTGGGCTCCCTGGCAGTCAAAATCCTATCTCATGAGAGCCTTTCTCCCCTCTTGGAGCAAAAGGCTGCTTAGCTTAGCATTGGGATATCTTCCCCCTCAGAACCGCTGCTGTGTTTCCCCTCAAATGAAGGGGCTCCCCATCACTGTTGTGCTCTCACCTCGGGCCAAGGGCCCCCCCATGGCTAGGAGGTTACTCCTCTCAGATCAGGGGTTCCCCCACCGTTAGGACATGTTTCTTCTTAGACCCTGGGGCCCCCTGACCTCTTCCCGCACACCTAGGATAAGTTTCTCCCTTCGGATGACAGGTTCCTTCACTACTGGACTGGGTTTCCTCATACTCCAGGGCTCTCACTTCGGAGATGTGTCTTCTTTCAGATCAGCCCCCACTGCACCATTGTACTGTGTTTCCCCTCTGGTCCCAGGCTCTGCCACAGCTGGGCTATTTCTCCCCTCAGTTCAAGGGTTTTCCCCAACATTGTTCTCTCCCACTCCTTTGGAGCGGGGCCACCCCTACCATTCAGACTAAGGTCTCCCCCACAGCAGGGATGTTCCACCCCAGCCCAGGTCTGTTCCTCTCCCACACCCCAACCCTGCCTTCCACCTAGTCGCTGTCCGAGAATGCTCACTTGTACGAGATGTCACAGAAACCCTGTATTTGGACATGGTCAACTTGGATGTTTCTTATCTGCTGTTCACAGTCTGAGGGGGAAAAGCAGGGGTTGCCAGCTGTTTGAGTCACCACCACGAAGTCCACCGGCAGGTTCAGGGGTCTCAGGCACTGAGAGGGCAGGGCCCGCCATTCAGACCTCGAGACAATGTCTGGGCAGCCAGGCAGCATGTTCCTGGGCTTCAGGTCATCCTCCCCTGAGACAGGGAGGGCGGCCAAGAGCAGGAGCAGCCAGGGTACCATGTCTGCTTTGGTATCTCGGGACCAAGGGAATCAGACGGCAGAGGACCGGTGATCTTGGGATGCTGAGGGTAGCTCTCCAGTGCCTAGAGCTGGGGCTGGCTATTTATCACCCGGATTTGGGGGGGGGGAGGACAGGATACAGGGCAGTGACCTTCCCTTGGCCACGGAAGGCCTTGCATCAAAACCCGGGTGCTTTGCCCCACAGGTGTTGGAAACTAAAGCCACAGGTTCCTGTTTTCATTGGAACCTGGTGGGGGCAGGGAAGGGGAGAGCTGGGTGGTCTTGGTGCTGATGGATAAGAAGGGGGAGGATTTTTCTGGCTTTTCCCCTCTCAAGCCTGCTGGATACCTTTGGGCTCAATGACAGCCAGAGGTCCTTCTTCTTTCCCACACCCTCCCTCCTTCTGGGCATCGAGAGCCGACTGCTGGCTCTGGCCATCCTGCCGCCGCCCTGTGGGACCTTGGGTAAGCTCCTTCCCCTCTCCTGGTTTTAGTTTCGTCACTCCACAATAAGAAGCTATGATTCTGTGGTTTTAGTCTCTTGAAATGCCACTTCTCTAGGCCTGAGGAGGATCCAGCCATTCGGTGGTCCAGAAGGATGTTTGTGTTTATCTCAATGGGAATATACATCACTGATTCAAATCAACAACTATTTGGAAGGAGCTCCCACAATGAGCCGGGATTACAAAGTCAAAGGACAAAGCTGACCTGGGTTCGCTGACCTAGCCTACATTCTGCTGGGGTGAGGGTAGGGGAGCCTGGAGCATACAAGAAAGAATAAGGTCTTCACGAAATCATGGAAATGAATGGCAAAGGGGAGAGAGTGACACTGCAGAGGGGGATGGATAACGAAAGGTATTCTGTAGGAGAAACTACGTGAGGTGTGCTTTGAAGGAGGTGCAAGGAGCATCTATTATGCTCCTGCTGTGTGCCAGGCATTGGAGATAGAGGAACGAGTGACAGTCCCTGCCCTTGGGGAGCTTATATTCTAACGTATATAGAAAAATCAGACTCAAAACATGAAGTCATTTTTAGGAGGAGGGCACTAGCCCTGGGGGTCTCTGGATAGGTTTTCTTTATTTTTTAAAAGGTAACTTATTATTTTTAGTTTTCAGCATTCACTTCCATAAGTTTTAAATTTTCTCCCCTCCTTCTCCTCCCCCCCGATATAGGCTATACTTATACATTCATGTTAAACATATTTTCACATTAGTATGGTGTAAGGAACAATTAGAACTAATAGGAGGAACCACGAGAAAGAAGAAACAAAACAACAGGAGCAAATAGTCTGCTTCGATCTGCACTCAGACTCCATGGTTCTTTCTCTGAGTGTGGATAGTATTTTCCATCATGAGACGTGGAGATGTCTTAGATACTTGCATTGCTGAGAAGGGTTAAGTCTATCAATATTACACATCGCACACTGTGACTGTTACTATGTACAACGTTCTCCTGGTTCTGCTCACTGCACTCGGCATCATTTCATAGAAGTCTTTCCAGGTTTTTCATTTCTTATAGCACAGTAGTATTTCTTAGAGCACAGTAGTATTCCATTACATTTGCATACCCACAACTTGTTCAGCCATTCCCCAATTGATAGGCATCCCCTCAATTTCCAATTCTTGGCCCCCACAAAAAGAGCTGCTATAAATGATTTTGTACATGTGGGTCCTTTTCCATTTGTATGATCTCTCTGGGATATAGCCCTAGAAGAGCTATTGCTGGATCAGAGAGTATGCACATTTTTATAGCCCTTTGGGCATAGTTCCAGATTGCTCTTCAGAATGGTTGGATCGTTCACAACTCCACCAACAGTGCACTATTGTTCCAGTTTTCCTATGTCTTCTCCAATATTTATCATTTTCCGGTTTTGTCATGTTAGCCAATCTGATAGGTGTGATGTGGTATCTCAGAGTCGTTTTGATTTGCATTTCTCTAATCAACAGTGATTTAGAGTATTTTTTTTCATGTGAGTATAGACAGCTTTAGTTTCTTCCTCTGAAAACAGCCTGTTCATATCCTTTGACCATTTATCAATTGGGGAATGACTTGTATTCTTATAAATTTGACTCAGTTCTCTATACATTTTAGAAATGAGGCTCTTATCAGAGATACTGGCTGTAAAAATTGTTTCCCAGCTTTCTGCTTCCCTTTTAATCTTAGTTGCATTGACTTTGTGCAAAACCTTTTCAATTTAATATAATCAAAGTAATCTTTTTTGCATTTCGTAATGTTTTCTATCTCTTGTTTGGTCATAAATTCTTCCCTTCTCCATAGTGACAAGTAAACTATTTCTTGCTCTCTTAGTTTGCTTATAGTGTCAGTCTTTGTATCTAAATCATGTACCTATTTTGACTTTAACTTGGTATAGGGTATAAGATGTTGGTCTATGCCCAGTTTCTGCCATCCTATTTTCCAGTTTTCCCAGCAGTTTTTTCTAAATAGTGAGGTCTTATCCCAGAAGCTGGAGTCTTTGGGTTTATCAAAAAGTAGATTACTATAGTCATTGACTGTTGTGTCTTGCATACCTAACCTATTCTATTGATCCACCACTCTATTTCTTGGCCAGTACCAAATAGTTTTGATGATTGAGGCTTTATGATGAATAGATAAGTTTTCTTTAGAAGCTGGCACATGAGCTGAGCATCGCTGGAAGCTAGAAATTATGCAAGGCAGAGGCAAGAAGAGATTGCACTTTAGACATGGTACACTGCCCATACAAAGGCTCGGCGGTGGAAATGGGGATGTCCTGCGCAGGGAGAAATGAGCAAGCCAGAGAATTTAACTTACCTTCCTAAGCATTATGCCTCCACCCTGCTGTAGCCCTCCAACATCAGACGGGGGTCTCCAAGGCCATGCCAGCACAGCACAGGCTCTCAAAGGTTCTGTTTGACTGGAACGATCTTGGGTCTGGGTGGGGGTGGGGGTGTAGATCATCAGAAGACGGGCCAAGTTCAGGGAGCTTCATCAGCATATGCTTGGACACAGGGTGATGGATTTCTTTGGTCCCCGCAGCCTGGCTTCTTAAGGCAGCTTGGTGTCTGGAAAGAGAGCACTGGGTCTGTATTAACTGATGCAGAGTGAAATGAACAGAACCAAGAGAGCATTGTATGCAGTAACAGTCACGTTGTGTGATGAGTGACTTTGATAGACCTAGCTCTTCTCAGCAATACAAGGATCTAAGACAACTCCAAAAGACTCGTAATGGAAAATGCTCTCCACATCCAGAGAAAGAACCATGGAGTCTGAATGCAGATGGAAGCAGACTATTTGCTCTTTTTTTCTTTTGTTGTTTTGTTTTTTCTTTCTCATGGCTCCTCCCATTAGTTTTAATTCTTCTTTACATCATGACTAATGTGAAAATATGTTTAATATGAATGTATATGTAGAGCCTATGTCAGATTGCAGGCTATCTTGGGGAGGGGGGGGAGGAGAGGAAGGGGGAGAAAATTTGAAACTCAAAATCTTATGGAAGTGAATGATGAAAACTAAAAATAAATTATTTTTAAAAAGAGCATTGGTTCTGGGTTCAAATCTCAGCTCTAGGAAATCCCTCTAGAGAGGTCCAGTCAATGTTCAAATCCAAAAATGAATGAACAAGACCTAGGAGATTGAGGAATGAGGGGCAGAAGTTGGAAAGAGGCAGACGTAGGTTTAATTTAAGGAAAAACTTGGACAATCAGAACTGCTCAAGTGTGGAATAGGCTGCCTTGGGAAATGATGGCTTCTTCCCATTTAACAAACAAAGGCTGACCACGTGCGGAAGGGATTTTTATTCAGGTAAATTTGGATTCTCTGTGTTTGTGTGGACCTCTGTAGAGGGAGTTCCTAGGAAGAAAAAATAATAACCAACATTTGGATAGTGTTTCAAGACTTGTAAAACTCTTTACAAATATTAACTCATTTCATCCTCCCATCAGCTGTGGGAGGTTGGTGCTATTTTTAGCCTCATCAGACTTGCCCTCTCCAGATCACATGGCTAGTAAGTGTTTGACTTATTCTCATCTTCCTCTCTCCAGATCCTGCTATCAATGCATATGGTGCCTCTTCCATAATGTATCATCTTAGAGGGTTTCCTGGGCCACCAAGAGGCTAAAATCTTTGTAACTTCATGGCTAGCTCTCCATTCAGTATACCACGTCTCCTTTTCTTTGTCCATCTATTCCCATAAATTATCCAAGAGAAGCCCACTTGATAGGATGGATGAGTTTCCTCTGGTACTTTTAACATCATGGTGGCATGTGGGCTGTCCAGCTGTCCTCCTTTACCATCATTATGGGATGAAAGCTTTCTGGCCCTGGACCATCTGGGTGATGTGTCAGTACTATTTCTCGTAAGTCATAAGCAATACATGGCAATTCTCTCTTGGAACCTCTCTTCTCTTGAAGTTTTCAGGACATTACTCTCTCCTGGTTCACCTGCCTCTCTGACTGCTCCTTCTCTGTCTCCTTTGCTGGATCCTTCTCATGCCCTCTGACCACAGATGTCCTTCAGGGTTTTGTCCTGGGCCCTCTTCTTCTCTCCTTCTGTACCTCTTCACTTGTGACCTCATCGGCTCCCATGGATTCCATGACCATCTCTATGCTGAAGACTCTCAGACCTACTTACCCAGCCTAGCCTCTTTCCCAATCTCCAAACTGCCCATTATTTATACATCTCAAACTCACCATGGCCAAAACTGGACTCGTTATCCTTCTCCCCCCAAATCTTCCCCCTCCTAATTTCCCCTTTACTGTTGAGAGCACCACCAGCCTCCCAGACCTAGGAGTCACCGTGGACTCCTCACTGTCTCTCATCTCATTATGTCCAAGTTGTTGCCAAGGCTTGGTGACTTCACCTTTGCACCGTCTCTCAAATATGCCCCTTCTCTCCTCTGCCACCGTGCTAATGCAGACCCTCATCACCTCCGTCCTGAATTACTGCCATAGCTCTGTCTGCCGCAAGTCCCCCTGATCCAACCCATCACCCATTCAGCTGCCAAAGACATCTTCCTCAAGCATAGATCTGACCACATCTCACCTAGTAAACTTCAGTGACTCTCTATTACCTCCAGGGTCAAATATGAAATCACCTTATTGGCCTTCAAAGCTCTT